AAATAAATACAAAAGGGGCCCCCCCCCCCCCCCCGTCTTAATAATTCCTACAAGATTTTTTTTGATATTATGTTTTAAAATTGATTATAGCAAAGAGCAATTCACTGTCTGAAAGCGTGATGGAACTACTGAGGGTTAGTTTATAGTAATCAAAGTAAATAGATGAATTCGATCCCGGTGTGACTCGCGTCCCAAATTCTCATTGCGATGAATGAGATTGCTTTTGAAGAAAAACACTTTTGTTTTCTTCGAGTTGTTCTTCTCCTAGGCTCATTGTCCTGGTTAGGAGTTTCCCTGGAAATAACTTTTAAATGCTATCTACAATATCAGATTTTATTCCTTTGTCCTATTGAAATTGTTAACTATAAGTTTCTAGAATTACCTGAATAGGTATATTCATTTCTATAGAAAAAAAAATGTGAAAACTTCGGATTTCATCCGAGAGTTATGTGTACTGCAAAAAGTGCATGGGGCATATGAGTCATTCTAGAATGTCTGAACAGCAAAATTATCATGAGAAACTAGGCAATTTGATTTCTGGATGCAGTTTTTGTGCATTTTGAGACCGTTTTCAGGCGATGTTTCGTTAGAAAGCTACGATTAAGTTCAACGCTAATATTAGATTAAGAATCAGCGTTAAAAACTGAGTCGATTTATATATGTTGTGGATAGTTCTGAGAAAGAAAGGTTTTTTGAAAAATCCCTGTACTCCCCCTCAGGGATGGTCTGATCAAAAATGACAATTTTTTCGATATGTGAAGAGTTATCGAATAAACGAACGGACGGACACACTGGCCGATTCTATAGTGTACTCTTTTTTTTTTTGAGTACACATAAAGAGTACATGTAGGTAGGATGACAGTTCAGGATATTTTCTAATCTAAGTTTCATAATGATTGAGACAACTATCAATTATATCATCTGACTTCTTTCGATAGAAATTTCGCTAAAAAGAAATCTTCTATGCATTCACGCTTAATTAAATAAATAGTTACCAATGCCTCCTGTGTATAAAAATGAAAGTGGTAAAGCTCCAAAAAATATTACAGCCAAATACGGTTCTTTTGCTGGTGAGAAATTGGTCAAGAAAAGAAAAGCGATTGTTCCAATTGCATATAATATTAAACCAAGCCGGACAACATCATTAGGTTTCAATAAACCTTCGATTAGTGTTCGATCATCAATATTATCAACGGCATTCTGTTTATCTTTGCTTTTATCATCATGTAAGGAAGTGTCTACTCCATGTATATAATCATAATACCTTGAAAATAAATACCAAAAACAATCTCGTTGGATTCGTACGACAAAAATCAGTATTTTAACATACGTATTGAATAAATTCGCTGCTGCATGAACACATAGTGCCGATATACACGTAAGAAGAAGAACTATAATTGACATAGCACGTAAAGATGGATAAGCAAGAGCAGTGCCTAATAGAACAGGCATCATACTAGTACTAAAAGACCATGGTCGTACGGCTATTAGATAATTTTCAAAAGTACCCATAATTGTGTAAACTAGAAAAAAAATCAAAAGATAATTATCTAATTCTATTCTCATCATATTAATTGAATGTCACATTCATACCAATTTTTTCGGTTGTTTAATACAGAAAGAAAGCGTTTTGCTCTACTACTTCATCATCATCTAGTAACCAAGTCGTATGTATGAATGGACAGTTTAGCATCGAATGAAACGCCTCGTTTACATTATTTGATAGAATGAGCAACGAATAATATTTAACATCAATGATATATGAATTTATTTCAATAATAACGACTATCTTTCGATATATTTTAGTCACGCCTAATCGTAGATTGAAGGTCGATCGATTAATGTTTTGATTATAATCAAGTTACGAAGAAAAACAGTTATTGCTTAGATAGCCGTATATTGGTTTTTAAAGAACCAGTCAAAATGCCACTTTTTAGGTGGCGCTGTTATTATCGTGACATCATATATATTTATTTATATGCCATGGCAAAAGAATTTTCAATAAATTCTTGACGTTACTATTCAAAGACTTTTATTCAAATAATCTGGATTGTGTTTGACATACATCATTGAATGTCTCCGCTTTTCTTCTCATCCACTTCATGCTTCTCGCAGAAGGAAATGATTATTTCTTTAGGTTTAGGTTTGATAGATTAGATGCTAAAAAGTAAAGCAAATTAGGTGGATAAAAATTCAAAAGTTGTCACTCTCTAATGTTTTTTTTTATAGCTAATCCCATATATCCGAAGTTGCATCTCCACCTGGATAGCGCATTTCATGAGCACGTGAAGGTCCATTGGGTTCATTTTTAAAGGAAATATAAAACTTTTGATCAAGTTTCATTCCACCATTTTCACTGTCACAATCAATTTTAACCAAATAGGATCCGTCAGTTTTTATAGTCGGATAGAATTGATCGTCCCAAGATGAATAAAGAGAATTCGTAACGTATAAACGTTTACCATCAAGTGATAATTGAATCATTTGAGGTCCGCCAGTAAATGAACGACTATCTTCAAAATCATTCTCCGTTTTAATTAAACCACCAAGCCAAATTTGTCCAGTTAATTTAGGTTTTGAAGGATCACTGATATCATATTGACGAATATCACCATGAAGCCAATTACAAAAGTAAACTAAACATAAGATACACATGATTTACATGGAGAACAAAAAATCACGGCTGAATAATATTTACTGAATTTATCATTAAGTGAAATAAGCATATCGGAAATAATAGCCGGCACTGGTTGACCATCTTTACCAGTTAATGCTTCAACTTGAATAGTTTTTTCGACTTGCCACTCATTTGAAGCGTCGGGAAAATATCGAAATACTGAACTACCCAATGCACATACAACATAACCATATGGAGTTGCTGGATTATGACAAAAACGTAGTTCAAGTGGAATTGCCCCATCTGAACCGAGATCGATCGATTTTAAATATTTACGTTTTGACCAATCCCAAAAATGTAACGAATGACCGTATTTATTGAGAGCAACATCATTTGGATTAAAACCTAAATGAAATAAACAATTTGTTTTCGATTAAGAAGAAATTTGTTTTTCTTTACCTTTGCTGAAAACATTTGGAGCTGCCCATTCGCTGCTAACCATTATATTATGGCGTGGTTTATACCAAAAATCATAATAAAATTGAACTGCTGATGGATTAGCTTCATCCGCCCATCGGCCAGTGACCTCAAAATTTTGATTGAGTAAAAGAAAACCACCTGGTAATTCACCTTTAGCATTTCCCAAACATGAAATCATTATTTCACCACTACCTTTTTGACGAAAAAAAAATTCAAAATTTTTCGAATTCAAAATTTCTTATTTACCTAAACAATGAACTGTATGTGGAGCACTTAAATCTAACTTTTTCAATTCATCACTCTCAATAGTTTTATATAAAGTAGGTTGAGTCTCATCCGCTGTATCGATAATATAGATTCTTGATGATTTAAAACCACCTAATACAATAAATCGTCGCTGCTTATTACAATCATCATGGCACGATGAGCAAGCATTCCAACCAAAATGATGGAATTCATCGTTTATGTTTGGTACATACAACCGACTAATAACTTGTTGATAATTCGAAGAATTCGGATCGACATCAATTGTTGCTATATAGTTCGGTTGATCTTCTTGGCATGGAATCATTGCAACATATAATAATTTTTCCCGTGGACCATTTTGCATAGCCTCAAGTGGACTAGCATAACCTGGTCCTTTTTTACAGCACGATGGCGACGACATAACGAATGTAGACTAAACTTAAAAATGAAAACTCTTGATAGCTACTCGACTAATAGAGATCTAAAACAAAATGTTCTTTTTATTCACTGGCTTCTATACATGCAGTCTGCGCATGACTCTACTCATAAGCAGTAGCACGCGTCAAAATATACAGTGACAACGTATCATAAAGAAAATGTCGAGGAGAAAGGAGAGAAAGCCAGTTTTTCTATTAGACAAAAGTGCTTATCAAATATGAAACACGATAATAAAAGGAAAAAAACGAACTTTACCCTTCGTTATCCTACATAAGCACAGCTACATTGCTTGATGAAAGAATAAAGCTAACTATCTCGAAGCAATCTACTACTAATGTTTTGCTATTCTATGTCGAAAGTAACAGATGTTCTGTACAGTTTAACTTCTGTCTCGGTACACGTACTATACTGAGAAAGCTCGTTAGCACGGCCTCTCATGTCCGATGGCCATGATATAAATTTAGTTATGATATATCTTCTATATTCTGCTTTGTGTTTCGTTATGGTGCCATTCATTGCATTTTTTGATGTTTTTTCTCTCTCTTGTCTCTCTCAATGTACTAAATTTATCCCTATGTAATAGAAGAAACGTTATCGGTATTTGATGAGATAGGAGAGGGGGAGAACGTATGAAAGGAGAATATAAAAAGGGATATACGCTTTTATATGTGTTTTTTTTCCCTTTTTTGTTTTGTTTGATTCTTGTCGATTCAAATTGAAATAAAGTTTGAAAATGGAGTTAAAAAAGGAATAAAGAGAAGAGCAATAACATCTGAACTAAGTTAGTTTGGTATGCCTAAAGCAAATAAAAGGAAAAGCCAATTGCATGCTGCAAGAACTTGTCGCGAGCCAAGTGTGAAGGCTTTGTCTTCAAGCGATTCGTCAAATGATGAATATACGATGGATATTGATGATAAAGAATTCAATTTCAATGAGAAACTTATGTTAACTGACATTGCTGATGTATGAAAATTGTTATTCTGTCAACTCTGTAAAATATCAGTACAATCACATCGTAGAATATCAAATACAAATATAGATGAAGACTAATGAAATTTCTTTTCTATTTGACCGTTTTCATTATGTATGTCTTCATTCATAATATAAAGTCAAACATAAAGAGTGATTAATCTGTCCATTAAAGCATAGATTTCATAATACCTTTACACTGGGTATCGAGAGTTTTACGTCACAATACCCTAGCCAGCAATAATTTATGGAGTATCCATTCTTAGTGCATCTACAATATGATGTAACGACATTAAACGTATCCACATTTATATATATATATGTGGATACACCAAAACAACTCAAATTCCTCGGCTTTTTAAAACATATATATATATATAAATGTGGATACTCTAACGTGTTTGTGCTAAAAAGTCGTTAACGGGCGTAAGGATATTATGATATCACTCCATTAACGATAAAAAAAGACCGAGTAATATCGGAAAGCGATGTTTTCCCAGAGAAGAATTTCCAGAGACCCTCTGAATACCCTAAAAATATGTCCATTCGATTCGTCAGAACTTTTTACCTATCTGAGTAGAGTTTACTAGATTTGAATAAAAAACAGTTATAGTAGATATAGAAGATATCTTTTTTTTCTCTTTCATCTCTTAATTTTGTTTAATTATAACTCTACCAATATTTATTTTTTGAGCCTTGCGCGTTGTTTATCAATCCCCTATATCTCCTATCAGGGGTGCAAGTCAGGTCTCAGAGTAGGGGGGG